ATGCTGCCAGCCATGTCCCATTGGTCACACTTTTAGGTTGTGCGATTAATTCTGAGAACTTTTCAATAAAAAAGTAAAAAGAGGCTAGAAAAGATCATTTTTAGGATGTTAAAGTTCTTCTAATGCTAAATTTTTGTGTCGATCCAATTCTCAAAACTTTCCCACTCAGCTGTGACAAACATTTAATCATTTATCAATTTTCTTTGCCCTCTTCATCCTGCCTATCCCAGCTACCATTGGACAAGAGGCAGGGGACACCCTCAACAGGTCACCAGTCCATTAGAGACAAACAACTTCACTCAACCATCACAAAAGTTTGACTTGTTTTTGGGCAGTGGGAGGAGTATCTAGTGATACCCAAAGGCTGTCCAGCCAGGAAAGGCGCAGGAGCACCCAAACTAGTATAGCTCAAGTAGACACTTGAAAACCCTAAAAACACTCTCCCTGGAATCCAAAAAATCAAAATAAGCAGATGGGCTAAGACCGTGGTGCTGTGAAGGAGCAGGTGGTCCTGAGGCATACTAGAGTGAGGTTCAGAATACTGAAATTTGGGACGGATACGTTGAAGGTAGAATGGCTTAAGAGGCAGTGCAGATGGACAAGAAGCAGAGAATAAAGGATGACAGAAAAGGAAGAAAAATGCAAATAAAACATTCGGAAGGAGAGGTCAAATCAAAGAGGAAAGAGATATAAAATAAATGAAAATAAAGCAAAGAAGGGATGAGAGGGAATATCTTTATCGTCTTAGAAACACACTAACTCCCACTTTGTCCTGATAACGTACACTCCCATTGGCCTTCACCCTCACTACTAACCCTCCAAACCCCACCTTCATCCTATTTACTTGGCTTGTAATAGCAGTTTTTTTGTGCCTCTGCCCTTGTTAGATGTGCCTGGAAAACCACCAAATGAAGGTCCTGCTAATTAGATACCAAACACGTCAACTGGCTTCTTTTGATGTAAAACAGCTGGAATGTTACTCCAGATGTGGAGCCTTGAAAACCTGTGTACATTTTGACTTGGCTTTGTCCACAATCTGAGTTTCCCCAGAAATCCCCAGAAATCTTGATCATATGACAGGTCTTGAAGGTTGATTGATTGGTAAAATTGAAAATCTATTTATCTATTATTATGCACTTATCATTCACTGAAGATATGAAAATATTTACTTGTATTTTTAATAAGAGGCAAAAAAACCAAAAGATCTTGTTGCCATGTTGTTCAAACCTCCAAGCAGTTAGACACAGGAACATTTTGAACAAAATCCGAATGCTTGCTTCATTAATGCAAGTAAATTCTAGTGTGCTCATATGATTTATGGCCAGGGACAAAGTTGTGCTTTGTATACAACTTTAAGTATTTTAGATCAATACAACCCAGATCAATACTCCGTTTCCCTGTCAGACTGAAACTAAATGCTTGTACTTCATGCAGGTGGTTGCGATGGGGACAGAGGAGGGAAGGGTAGGCATCACTTAGAGGAACTGAACCTAAACCCCTTGTGACCATTGCTGTCATTGTGAAGGCAGAAGTCAAGCTTATTGTCATCAGATTAATAAACCATCATCATAGAGGGTCCGACCTTCCACATTGCAGCTCTGGCTGGAACATTAAGGTTATTATAAGAACTGTTTGTGTGTGCTTCTGTAAATCTATAGAAAACAGCATCAACCTAGTAAATAGTGTCCTTCAAAGTGTCTTCAAATATGCTTCTGTTTTAAGATGTGTTGCTGTGGATTACCAAATGAAAGTTTAATTTTACAGCACCTTAGTCAAAGGGTCTGAGATTATGTTGACAGCATGTTGTTGAATTCTGTTGTAAATTTAGAAATGCTAGATATTCAATGGTTTATCACATAAGCAGTTTAATTTATTTTCTTTTTTTCAAATAAAAATCTACGTTTGCATTTCATAACTGCAACAAATTACCCCCCAAAAAAGAAGAAAAAAAAGGATAGGAATAGTCTGAGACTGGAAATTTATTTTAAGGTCTTTAGCAGGACAAATCTAAACACATTATACATTCTATACAAACACATGGCTTTGGAAGAAAAGGCCATAGGTACTGTGCAGACGGGCCTTCCTGCCGGCTGGACTATCCCCAAAAGGAAATGTGTGGGCAATTTTGAAACTGTCAAAACGCGACAGTATCAACAAAAGGTTATTCACCTCAGGATTTTTTTTTTCAGGATGAATGGGACAAAATAACAACATGGTTCTCATCAATGTCAGTTTGCAAATTGTTGTGGGAAGGAATGGGACCAGGTTACTCTCGCATTCTGCTATCAGCCTTTTAATCTGAGGTTAGACAAAACATTTAAAAGTTAGTAGTAGAAATCTAAGCTGTTTCAAGAATCCATCCATCCATACAGTTTTTATACCCACTTTAGTTGTACCCAGTGGTGCATTTTAAGTAACTAACTTGAGTAATAACATGGATCTCTGCTTCTGCTTTCATCCCACCGATTTTGCCTCCTCAAACTGAAATTCAACCACAACACATTTGTTTCATTACCTCATGACCTTTTCAACCCATCTCAGCCAACTCCGATGTTGGTAAAAGTACTTTGACTGTTATGCATAAATGCAAGCATGCTAAGATTCAGTCATCACTGACTTTAGAGGATGTCTTCAGAATTCTTTGGAATAAGCTGTCTTTTGCATTTAACTTTATTTGCATAATGTTTTTGTCAGAAACATCAGAAGGCATAGAAAGAATAAGGTCTGGACTTTAGTTCAGTAGTTTACCAAAAATAAATATTCACCATACACTTAAACTATGTGCAAAGAATAAGAATAACCTTTAGAATTATGGCTCTAAGCGAAGTATTTCCATAAGTTTTGGACTTCGGGCAGCGAAGATCAAAATAGATCATGTTACAAAGTTTATTGTTAAAGTTTATGTTAACTTGTGTAATTTGAAGCTGTTCTAAAAAGAACCTGAAAAAACTGGAATGATAGTGAAAGATAAAACATACCAACAAGGGATAATTATACAATTATATCAAATGATTATTTACATTCTGTAATGTAGAGCAAGACAGGCAGTTAAGTTATTCGATGGAAGCTGTCCCGTTACAAGAAAACACACATCCACAGAGCTGCACAATCTCATCTGGCCTCGTGTAGGTCTGACTTCCTCATTAGTATTGGGAACTAAGGGGTAACTCACGGGTGACAGGCTTGGAAGCCACAGACAAGACTGAACAAAGATTCTAGTTGTTCTGAAAACACCCGATTAAGCCTCTGGACCTTTGAGGTGGGCCCCAAAAATCCAAGGAATGAGAGACAGACCCTGTCCTGTAGCAGCTGAAGAGACAATTTAATCCTGCACCACTGGGAGAATACTGATTAAAATCGCTTACATGTCAAAGGGCTGGAGAGGGAGGGAGAAAGAGAGAGAGAGAAAGAGAGAGCCAGAGAGAGAGAGAGAGGGGCATTTGAAAGCAAGCACCAAAGCCTTGAACTTGACATACCTATAACATATTTATGGGTGCTTGCATTCAGTATTGCCGGGCCATATTTGAAATGCAGTCTCTGGAAATTTTTTACAGCCTCCAATGACGACATCCTCTACGAATCAGAGGTTTGAACAAGATGATACACATCTCCAAACACAATCACAGGAGTGGTGGAGTTTTGCTGTGAATGATGCTTTTAAATAAGCAATTACATCATCGACTGGACTTGTTTCCTGCTTTCTTTTTCAACTTTCCTTTATAATATCTACCTTCAAGGCTTTGGGATAAAATCTCTGTGAACATTATATCCCATTACACTTTTAACAAATGGCACACTGGGACTTTTAAACCAAAGTGGCAACAGAGTGATTAAAAGCTTTTCTCACTCAGCCCACACTTAGATAACACCAAAGTTTGGTGGGTAAGGTATATCAACTTTTGACAAATTTACTGTGTGACACTTTCCTTCATTCAGATTTATCTTTTTTAATAAGAGACCCCAGATAGGAAATTACTCCCCTTTTGGCAGTTACTGCTGATGGATGGATATTTCTCAGCAAAATTATACATAAGGGGATATTACTGGTAAGGTGTATTATGAAAAGTATAACACTGCCATCTACTGGTCATCAAGCTCCCACTAACTCCTGATATCCAATACCTTTGAATACTATCTGGATTTCTGTTCAAAATACAAACTCATGAAAAGATATAAAACACTGTGATACTGAAATAAATAAGAGCAATATCTTAACAACTAATTCATATTTTTCTATAAACATTTTTGTCAAATTTAAAAAAATGCAAATGGTTCTAAAGTGGGGTTTCATGTGGGGTTTCTCTGCTGTGCTTATATCATGAAAACACTGAATTTCAATCAACATGCCTCTAGTTATCTTTATGTTTATACAGTATATAGTTTCTATATCTATATGAGATGTTTAAAAAAAGCAAGGCAGAGAGAAAAGGCTAGTATGAAGGCTGACCACCAGGTGTCATGCCCACATATGGCCAACATCTCAACATATGCAGTGAGGCATTAGTCCAGTGTACAGCAGCATAATGGGATTAGTCCATAACAGCCATGACGTTAAAGTCAAGAAGACTTTGAACCCAGTTGTAAATCAGACCCTGTTGTGTTTTGATATCAGGGAGTTACCTACCCAGGTTGTTTTATGGGTTTAATTTTTGTACGTGAATGATTTCAAAGTGTGAGCCTCTGCAGAACTGGCATGGATGCATAAGAGGAGAGTTGGTTTTGTTTTGACTGAAAATGAACCACAGTTAATATACAAAAATGGCACACCAGATAATATGAAAATTTGCTTTTGTTGAATACTTACTTTTGGATAAGTGTCATTTCTACTTGTAGATATATGGGCCTATAAACGCTACAGATTAAAAACAGGAAGTGGACCTAACTGTAGATGTGCATAAGGTTGGTGTAGCAAAGGTTTCTTTACCTCTGGCCCATCACCTCAGGCAGCCACCCTCTTACACCTGATTGGTTCACGGTGCTACCCTTCCTCCAATCGCAACGCTGCTCTAGCTCCGCCTGCCACATCACTAGCATGGCGGAACAAGAAGCAGGAATTCCGACTATGCGCGGATGACAGCGGGTAACACCGGTGATGGCCATCCCATAGCAACACAGGTCTGTTGCCCAGCGACGAGCCGTGACACTTCGGGCCAGCTAGCTACCTGTGACCAGCCGGACAGCAGCCACACAGCCACCGGTTTGTGGCAGACTTCAGAAACAGCATTTGAAGCCAAGTGTTGTTTTTTTACGCTGATTCTCGGAGCTGCACCAGTGCCTTTTTTTTTTTTTTTAAACTCCGGGTCCTCGCTGGGATGAACTAGAATAGTTGCTGCTGCAAAACTGCCTCATGAACGAAACTATGGACCTATTTGGGTTGCTGTTTCTGGACGACCTGTCCCACGGACTAGCAAGCCTGTCCATGTTTCCCTACTTTGACATGGCGCACTACATCGTGTCAGTCATGGCTCTGAGGGAGCAGCCAGGTAGGTGCAAAGTTCCGTTCCATGGTTTATTGGTTTATGGCACCAACTGCTGCGACTGTTGAGCTTTGTTCTGGTGGCGAAGTGGGAATACAAACTTTTTAAAGTGTGGAAAGAAACCTCTAATTTATAATTTTTCCACTTGAGGCACAACCTGGATATCACTCAACATCAATTAAGAGAGCAAAAAATTGTGGGCAAAATAAAGTTCTCAACATTTTGCATTTTCAATCACAACTAATTGCTGTCCAAACAGTAAATAAAACTTATCCAACTATTCTGTCCAGAAGTTGTCATGTCCTCCACATAAGGAAGTAGATCAAATTTGTTAAGTTAAAGACAACCTTAAAAAAATTGCTGTATTACTAGATTAATTCCCTGGATTGGGAAGAAGTGCGTTTACTGTTGACAAGCTGTCTGGTTTCTACTTAATTGCTGGGTTGGGGTTGGGGTTGGGTTTCGTGAGTGAGTTCCACACAGTTGTGCAGTTGCTTTAGTGGTTACGGCTGACATCTCTCTGATAAGACGGACTCATGCGGCCTCCCAGCAGCTTTTCCAACTTTACTGTCTTCTTTACTTCTTCTTGTCCTCCCCACCCAACAGCAGCCATTTTGTCTGCTTTCCTAGAAGTTTTTTTCCCAGTTTAGAAAGTTGGAATATGATGGATGACAACATAATGGCCCCGTGAAAACCAATTTTGTGGTATTTAGCACATTGAAAAGCTTCTATTGGTAACAACTTCACTTATCTTCACAAGGGGGCTGATAAGACTTTTCAGATACAAGAGCTTATTGCTCAGTCATGCCATTCAAAACTTTTCCAGGTCAGATGCATTTGGAAAATCTCTTTTAAAGCCCCTGAAGTCCGACAAAAAAAACTCCAACAAACAGTTAAAACCAAATCAAATGATTGTATTCTTTTGACTACCTAAATGGCAAATCTTGTGTGTCTCTGCATCCTTTTGCTCTAAATCAGAATCAAAAGTTTGCACTTTGCCAGCCTAAAGATCAAAATATATAATCGGTTCAGCTGTGTCGCAGCTCGCTGTGGCCGGTCAGACCAAAGGCAGGCACAGAGCCATGTTATGTCACTGGTGTGGCTGCAGAGACAGGTGAACTTTTAACTGCACCGACAGTTAACTTTCCACACACACACAAGAGGCCAGTGCGGCTTATTGTAGTCCCCGAGCTATATTTCTATTTTTGAACTTGCCTCGCCAAGCATCCGAGCTACTACGACCTTTTAACCCATTGTCCTATACTCAGTCCATTCATCTGTGTGGAGGAATATACAGAGTAAAAATATATACAAACAATAAGAGAGAGCTCCCTCGGCGCATGCGTTTATGTGCCATTTCAGTAACTTAAAAAAGGAGCTGCGTTTGAGGCTATTCGATGGGCCACAAGCTGCTGATAGGATCTCACTGAAAACGCTTGAATCTCAATGGAAACTTGAATAAAAGGAGCCACACAAAGCCCAGAGGGAGCCAGCTTCTCTTCATCTTCTCCCAGAAAGGAAAGGAATGCCATAAACTAGTCCAGCCACCCTGTCTCTTCTCTTTCCTGTGTTAAATCCTTTGCTCCAGCTCTATTGAACCCCCCATTAGGAGTCCAGAGAGGCTGCTTCAGACTTTCATGAGTCCTAGCAGGAGAGTTTTGCTTTAAGTTACAAAAAGGGAAATGTTTTAGGGGTAGAAGCAAAACACACAGGCTGATAATGCTGCCTATACAGTGGTGCTAGAAGATTTTATAAGAAGGAGAAAACCACCTAGAAGAGTTATTTTTCAGCATGCTGCTTCACTTTTAGTCAAGTTATAGTAAAAAACGTTTGGTCTTGTTGAGCCGTGCAGGCACTGGAAATGATAAGCTGAGGATGGGCTGATCACGCGAGTGCTGGAGAAGTGATAAATAAAGAGTCAGACTATGGGTTAGGTTATTGGTGTGTACAGGTGGGAGGTATTGTTACTTTAAGGTGATTTGTTTCCAAGCCATCTGTTTTTTCTTTGTGCCAATTCATAAAGCTCTTAGATCATAGATATACCCTCCACAAAGATCTTAAGAAGTGTTTAGTCTCCACTCAAGCAGAAAGAGAAAGTGAAAACTACCAGGCTCCGTCTGTGCTGTATGACATAGTGCAGCTGCAGTCGTTGACCTGATTACTCAAATTTGACTTGTAAATGTGTTTCCTCCAAATGTAAAACTAGGAGAAAGGAGCTGGTAAAAAAAAGTATTTGAATCTTAGCCCTTCTGAGTCGCTGGAGAGATGTATTGCAGTGCAGTGCAGTAGAGAATTAGAGAAGTTTCCTAATGTTTTGTTTGTGCATGTATGATAAGGCCCGCAAAATGTCTGCTGCAGCAGTAGCTCCGACACTGTTTAGCTCCCCCCTGCAGCTGATGCTCTGCCGGCCGGGCTCAGCCACAGACTGCAGCAGTTAGTTTTTTCCCTCCAGCTTTAGGTGATGACAGAGCTGCACTGTTTACTATGTCTGCAATGTGCTGCACATGTGACCGCCGTGTGACCACAAACGCCAGCATTTAGACCGGCCTTTTGCTGGTATCTGTGCTTAGTCAGAGACGATGCTGTAAACCTACTCTTTATTATCTATATTTAATTGTGAAAGATAGAATAAATGACCACTGCCTTCTCTTTGTTATTCTAGCCCCATGCTGCTTTCTCATATGCAGAATCTTCCATAAGTTTCCACCTTACAAAACTTTTGAAAGGAAAGCTCCAAAGTCATTCCCACCTGTTTGCTGAGTGCTGAGTCAGCAGAGGAGTCAGGTAGAGCTATAAATTCTACGGATTGCCTTCCAGTAGGCTGTAATCTGCGTGTAATCCTCAGATTACTGTTTTGGGCTTGAGCGTGGCTGCAGTGACTGCTGGGTTAACTAAGCGTTACCTGCCTGACACGAGATGCATATGTGTTTACCTGAGTGATTCAGTGTTTAGGGTTTAGGTTAACAGGTTTAACATGGCAATCCAATGTGTATCTGTAAAGGTACGTTTTAAAAAAAGCATAAAAATAATACAAAAAACCCCCCAGAGAGACATGGTGCACTTGAGGTAAACCACTGATAGTGCAGAAGAAAAGTGAGGAAACCAGCCGCTGTTGCATCAGAACTGCTCTCGTGCAGCTACTTGTCTTGAATTCGTTCCGGTTAATGTCCTGTTGTTGTGTAAACTGTGGAAGCCAAAGCAGGAATACGGTGTACTGTGGAAACAGGCCCGAGGCACAGCGGAAACACTGGGTGGCTGACGGCTATCTGCAGTGGACTCATCAGGATCTCTGACTCTGCACTTTGAACTGAAAGCCCCAGAGTAAATACTACAGCTGCCTGACGAACCCTTCCCTCTCTTTGTTTGCACTGGTTTTGGAACAAGTTAATTAGCACACAGTGAGGAAAACTTGGAGGCATAAGACAGGGTGGAGGCCAAAGTATCAAACTAAACAGGTGTCCACTGAACTGCTTGGCACAAGTTGTTCAGGTTATGCAACAAATAAAGTCCACATCTGACGGAGGTCTTCAGAACTGGTGCAGGGATAGTTTGTGTCATGTTCATATCTTCCAGAGTGACATGTGTTTAGGAACAAAAACCCGCTGCCATCATAATGCTGATGTCTCTGTTCTTGCACAGGAGCTCTGGAGGTGTCCAGGGTCAGCCCCTTGGCCTGCTGGTTCAGCTCCATGCTCTACTGTTTTGGTGGGGCAGTGCTGTCGGGGATCATGCTGGCCGAGCCTCCAGTGGCCCCTCTGTCCAACGGCACCGGCGTTCTGCTGGCTTCCATCATCTGGTAAATGAACAAGAGAGGTGGAGGAAGTAACAAAAACAGAAGAGGAAAGGGGAAACTGTTGGGATTACGGGAACAGTAAATTAATGTGTTCTTTAAGGACAGGCGGTACACAGTGAGGGATTGTGCCCCGTTTCACTTTAATTCAAGGGAAGCATGAAACGTGGACGGCTCTGAATGAAACATAGCGCCTACTGTAGAGCTGCCGTCTCCAACTATGAAGGCTTTTCTACCCTCTGGAGGCGTCCCCTAAAATTACACAATGCTCACCAAAAATAAACACTGCCCTCTGCTGGCCAAGGAGGGTACTTTAGAGGCAGTCATCTATAGCTTTAACAAACCAGATGATGTCGATTACAACCCCCCCCCCACCCGCACACACACACACACACACACACACACACACACACGGATGTGTGTGAATTCCATGTGTCTCTACAGGTACCTTGTCTTCTACTGCCCCATGGATGTGGTGTACTGTTGTGCAGCCCTGCTGCCGCTCAGGCTGGTCTTATCAGGAATGAAGGAAGTGACCAGGACATGGAAGGTGCTCGGAGGGGTCACTCAGGCACACAAAAGATACAAAGACAGTCTGCTGGTCATGATTGCCATCGGCTGGGCGAGAGGTCAGTGTGCGGTCATGGTCATGTATCACAGTGATTGTGTTTGCTGCCTTCATTCCAAGTCATTCCAAGAGGTATTTGAAGTTTTGATTTTGTCCATATCGTGCGCATTTACCGGTATATGTCTGTATATGTCTGCACGCCTCACCAGGTGCCGGAGGTGGTCTCATAAGTAATTTTGAGCAGCTTGTTCGGGGCGTGTGGAAGCCAGAAACCAACGAGCTCCTCAAAATGTCTTAGTAAGTCCTCTACAGAACTTGAATTTACATCAGAGATTGAACCCCCTCAAAAGTAACATGGTCAACGTCTTTTGTTAATTTATCCCTGGACCTCACACATGACGCCCCATTAAACACGTGTTGTGTTTTTGTGGGTTTTATCCAACAAATGTGAAATGGATGTTTTGTTTGATCAAATTTAAAGTTTGATACTGATGCACACTTCTCTTCCTCAGCTGGTTCCGCTTTAAATGCTGAGCTAAAATAGCTTTTCCCTTTTACATACAGTGTGAATTTTACTCAGTTTACTTTAACTTTGTTTATATAGCACCAAATCACAACAAATGTGATTTGTGTTTTTATCATGTTTTTTTTTTTCATTTGTCATCCATAAATGATCACATGTCTCTGGTCTGGTCCATTTGTGCACATACATGATCTATTTAAAATAGCTTATATGTTATCTACGATTTTGTTATCAGGTAAATAATCTTTTTTAAATTGTGTTAGCATACCTGATGTTTCTTTTTTCATTGATTTTCTCCTCAGCCCCACAAAGATCACACTGATAGGGGCTGTGCTGTTCGCTCTGCAGCAGAGCCACTATCTGCCCCTCCAGAAGCACCACCTGATGCTGCTCTACACCATCTTCATTGTCGTCAATAAGGTCAGTCTGAACACCTGCTGTAGTTACAGGACCAGAATATAAAGACGGCTTATAGGCTGAACATGGAGGGGTATTTTTGTCAATTTAAACATTTATCCTGACAATAGAGATTGTCATTAGTTGAAATGCCTCCTGGTTATAAGACATGCTTCGGTGTCCCAGCTCCCTCCGGACCTGTTACAACTCGTCTTCTAAGTGACCTTTCCCTGCCGCTTTTTTGAAGTTTTAGCTGCGGTGACTCACATTAGCTGGGTATTACCCACAGGGCTAGAGCGTTTGCATCATTTTCATCAGCTTGCATCATCCACTTTCCTCTTCTCTGGGAAAGTTGAGCCCTTGACTGAGACAGAAAAATCTACCACATCTTCTTTCAACTCTCGCTCTGTTAGCGCCTTCTGTCTGATCTGTCAAATTATCAGCAAACCGTTTCATCAGATGTATGAGCTCTGTCAAAGGCTGCTCTTTATTATCACTATTTTGTATTTCTGATGATGATATGCAGCTAATGAGGACTAAATGCTACTACGTCACCATTCGTTTCTGATATTACAGACGCATAAGGACACCGTGCGTCAGTTTGAAGAATAAAAACACATTTTCCAGTCACATTGTATTACCACTATGAGACATGCATCGCTCATAAAAAAGCCTTTAAAAAAAAATACAAATCAGGTGCATTAAAGCAAATGGCAGAAAAAAAACTCACATAAAAAAGAAACTTAGCAGGACCCACATTTCTGACATTTCAATAACATAAGTAACACGATTTCAGAAATCACAATATTTTACTAAACTCAGCCTTTTCTAAGAAATGTGAACAAAAAAGGTTGTGGTTAGTTCCTGTTCCATCTCCAGAAAATCTGTGTGTTCCACAGTTTTCAGATGTTCAAGAATTATGGAAGAGACCCCTAACATGATATTTTCCTCTCAGGGTGTTGCCATTTAATTTTTTTTTGCTGTTTTTACTTTTTTAGTCACGGATGATGCTGACGGGCTCGTCTTCCTCACCATTCGCCCCCATCGAGTCCGTCCTCTACAAGACCCTCTTTATGGGAAACTCCCCCTATGCTGCTCTCACAGGCGAGGAAAAGAAAGGGTGTGCTGATGAGGACGGGGCAAAAAGGTCCTCCTCCTCCAGCGTAACCAAAGACTCCATTGGGTATTCGTCATCAGGGCAGCAGAAGCCAATTTCTCCTGCTGAGGGACAAAACAGCTCACTCAAAGCCAAAGAGGAGCCAGAGAACGCAGAGCCACTGAGCTCCAAAAAAGACAACTAATGGGCCTTCCACTTATTACAGCTTAAGTCATTTGTGATTCACATCTGTCACATCTAAGTTGGCCTAAATTTTGCTTTAGGTTTTCTTGTCTTAAGGAACCTTTTTATAGCCTTGTGGCTGGAAGGCATTCTTTTTTCTTCAAGCTTTTTTAATTTCATATAATTTCAAGATGACTGCGAATGATCATTTCAATTAGAGGTGAATGGAACTGCACCTTATTCTGGGATAATCACCTCAATCATTAAAGAACTGTGAGCTTTATGCTGCTGGAGGCCAACATAGCGAGATCCTTTAGCTGAATTCACACAAGCTGTACAAATCGTAGCTTCAATAAATTAAAAAAAAGAGTATTTATTTTTAAAACAAACAGCCAATTAAACGTCATATTCAGGGTTTTGGGACCAGTGCTGTGCGCCTGCAAATATCGGAATGTATCAAACTCTTTCTGTATTTATTGTGCTTGTTGTAAAAGCTATATTTCTATTCTGATAATACTTTTTTTAATGAAAATTGTATTGAATAACATTCAGATATTTTATAATATTTATACTACTGTCTTGAATGTAAAATACTTAGAAATGGAATGCAACTGTATTGTAAATGAATGCCTTGAATGCGACCAGAGAGTATGAGAATAAAGAGCTTAAAATCTGCTATAAGTGTGTTTTTGTGTTTTCTAATCTCTAAGAAATTTGAGGTATTGCCTCACTTTAAAGCATTAGTCAGGCTTTAATATTTCAAACTGCTTAAAAGAACCCCCCTCATTAATGTAGCATCATGCAGCCCTCATATCTGCATGTGTTCGCAGCAGAGTTAAAAAAAACCCACTGATAACTACTTCAGATGTTTGAAAGTTGATACGAATTAGCATAATGTCCACAAGTAACCCGCTAAATTCAGGAACATTGCATCAGTGTAACATCAGCACCTGATTTATACCTCACCCACTCCTAAAAGCTGCTGGAGAGAAATCCCCCAAATCCCTCCCAATTCTCGCCTGTGTAACCTCAGACGGCAGAGCACCCCCTTCCATGACTGCAAATTAAAAGCCGAGGGGGATGTGGAGGAGAGAAGACAAGATGGTCAAAGAAGATAAAAAGTTATGGTGATGCAGAAGATGGATCTGCCTTTAAAATGCCTAAATATACAGATGCCAAACGTATGTGTCAATAACATTATTCGAACGGCTAAACTGCTTTCTTTGCTGAGTGCTGATCTTTCTTACTCTACCTTTCAACTCTGAGCAGGGAAACTGAAGGGCACGTTAGTAAGCCATCATTTCAGTTTTTTTTTCCACACACCCATTGCTGAAAATGAATTCTTTCTTCACTATATAAACACAAGCAGGCTTAGTGTTCACGTGTTACCCTGTGAGTCTTAGCCCCAATAAGGGTCCCAGATGCAGCTCGCATTGCATCTCATGGAACACAAGTTACACATGTTCTCTTTCGAAAAAGAAAGTATGATCATGCTGTACAAGGTAAGCGTCCAGACTAAGGTCAGTGTTTTCCATGCGTCTCTAAAACTGATTTGGAACCCGCAGTGAAACCAAAGTAAAGATCAGGAACATGCCAAACCATTGGACACTAACCTCAGACAGTGTTTGGAAGCTATCAGAATATGCCTGAAACTGAGAGCATTGAGTGTTTCTTTTATTCAAAACCGTCTACTTCACTATGTGTCTGAAACAGTACTGACATGCAAAGAAGGTGAATTTGAATAACACATTCACGACAATTAGTTTAGTCAACAATTATTTTTGGCATTAATCAGTAAAGATCAGTTATTATCAGTACGAAATGATAATTCTCCGTGGAAAAAGTAAGCTCAACAATCCTTCAGCTTCTAGACGCTTGAAGGTTTTCTTATAGGTAACTTCTGTTTTAAATTCCCTGCAGGGTTTGAATTGGAACAAAGGAATTCAGGGCTTTAACCCAGACATTCCACAAGCCTGCAATTCCGCTTCTTGTGCCGTTCCTTTGTGGATTTGTTTGTGTGCTGAGGATCATTATCCAGTTTAAAGACCCACTTTCAACTCCGCTCCAGCTTCAAATAGATGGCCTCACAATGTCGTCAAGAATTGCTGGTTATACAGGTTATCCATGGTTGTCCACTCTCTGCTTTGTTCAGGGAACATTTACGGGATTGATTTAATCTTTGCTGGTTAGTTTATGAATGACCAGTATGAAAACACAGACATCATGTCTATAAAGGGCAAAAAAGGTTTTTTGAAATCGACTGTGACAACAGATTCAGCAAGGAACAAGGAAGGTCATTTTGAAAAGTCTTATTTTACAGCCTCAGAGAGAAAGCCGCAGAAACGCAGAGCTGGGAGAAAATGCATCCTATCTTCCTGATGGTTGCGGCTTTAAACCCTTTCGATTGTGTCCTCGGCCCTCTCCCTGGCCGGGTGACGAGGGTTTGGGTGGACGACATGTGCAGGACAGGTGATTACCACTTGGTGGCGTGAGGAAGCGTCATCTCCGATGGCCTCGTGCCTGGGAACTGACAGGCTGGCCAGCAGCTGCAGGCGAGAGAGGATGGGGACAGGAGGGGACTGTCTCTGCTGAGCCAATGGTGGCCGACTGCGTGTGTGAGAGTGTGCAGTTTGCCTTTGCTGTGCTTGTGAGGATTGGCTGCCCTCAACCAACGAGCCTTGTGAGAACAGGTTGGACGGCAAGGGTATTTTAGATGGACAAAACGCACAGGTTTTTCTGCTGAGAAGATAAGATGCTTAACCTCAAAAATGTCTTTCCCGGCGCATTGGAAGTGTTATTATTTCGCAGATCAGCACTACACCGCTGCAGTCCAAGTTTTAGCTTTGGCCACGCAGGGAAAGAAATACATTAAGGAAATGTCTTCCTAAGCATGACAAAACCAGTCAACATGAATTTGGATATGTGCGTTTGTTTGTTCTGTTGCGTGTGTGTCATGAAGAGTGGCAACAAAAGCTGAGACCATCAAAAAGGCACAAAGAGCTTCGGGGCATAAGACCAGGGACACACACATACACACACACACATATGCACACGCTCACACAGCTGTAGTCACCCCACCAACAGAGTGAACAAGGCACTTCTCTTGTTTTGAAAAAAAAAAACACAACCTGCACAAGCGCATATTTACTGTCGAGGCATATGTATGTCTCCATTCTGGATACAGTTCCATTTTCTAACTATACAGCATGCCTCTATATACAATCAGATCCAGGTGCAGGTTAATAAAAGAATGTTTTGTGTATTTTTAATCACTTTATCAAGTTATGATGAGACTGATACTGTTTTGCTTACTCCCAAAAATTCATCTTCCTCCTTTTTTATTCAGAGTTTGGGTTGAGATGATCAAGCTTCTGTTCGATCAATCAGCTCTCTGCACTCGACCACTCGTTCATCACTGATGCACCCATTACCTGAAGAGAGAATTCACTATTTCTGTAGATGAAAGGACTCTGAGCTGTAATATGAATATGAGGAGTGCATGTTGAAGAGAAACTGTGATAATATAGTTCCTGGAGATGCTCTTGAAGATCCTGAGACACACAGACATCCTCCAGGTGGTCGTGGTTTTGTTGCTTTCCATGCAACAGTTTAAGCTGAATTCTATTAGGGACGCCGGAAATACTAAAGAACACATTCCCTATTTGTGCTGCTGGCTTTGTCCAGGTGGGGAATGGGCTCAATGAAGCAGGCAGACAAAATCATATTCTACACAAAAAACTGGACAATAAGTGAGCCGATATGGACTATTAAGGGCTTTTATGATGGGGGATGTGAAGGCAACTGGTCTGTTGTCTCTGAAGGCCGATGGACGAGCTGGAAGACATGTTGCCTATCTTGACTCAAGCCAAAGTTGAATGGTGCAGTTGTTTTATGCAGGCCTCTGTTATCATGATGCTAGAAACATCTAGATCTTTATATTTTCCTCAGATTTCCTGTTATATTTATCCATGCTTCCTCCTCACTCCTGGCGACAGGCTGGATGGGTGGGCAGAGGAGGTCTTGTGTTCTGATTGATGGTGTCTCCAATGAGAAGAGGTCCCTAAAGATCCAAACTGTATGAAGAAAACAATATCATCTCCACACCGCTACATTGCCGGTAAAACAGCATCAGACTTTATTGTTGATGGAAGGCACATCCGTGTGTTGGTGCTCTTGTGGCACCATTCTAACTTTGCAATCTGCAGTGTCAGATGTCTTTCCCTGGCTGACAAATCTTACTCAGTGCTAGCTTTTGTGCATTGTGAGAACAAAATGAATCAAATAACAATTGTATAGCTGAAATCATTTTGTTGGATTCTTTTTGAGATTCAGTAAAAGTTAAAAATCTCCTTTGCTTGTCGAAGCTGGATTGTGTGAAGCTCTTATGGTTTGTCAGTGCTGTTAAACAGGAGGTGATTAAAAAGCTTTTTTGAACAACTAAAAAAACAACTGGTACAGAAATTCAAGAAAATGCTGTAGGATATATGATGAATTTTACTGCCGGACATTGCTTTTTTCCATTGATTAACCTGAAAGTAAACAGCATTTGTTCCATCCTGATATAGTGACTATGATAGATGACATATCTACTAAAGAAATAAAGCTAATGCTACGATAAAAGGCTTTATTTATTATAGTTTTTCTGCAGCATCAAACAATTTAATATTTTTTCACTGAATGCCTTTTTGGATTTTACGAACAAAGCCAATGCTTTTCTAGGTCAAAGTTTTTTGACAAAAGACTTGTTGGATGGTGCAATCAAACTCATTATCTATTCAAGTACGATGAAAGTGAGGAGGGAGATTTTTGGGACCACACAGGAAAAGACACAGGGAAGTTTGGGAGTAGGAAGGAGAAAGGAGGGTAGAAGGCAACGGGAAAAAAAGGTCGGAAGGGAAGGAAAATGTTGGATGAGGAGCCCCATCACGACATCTCTCGCTTTCACTCACAAAAACACATACAGGCAAACAGAGAAGTCTCTTCATTTAGTTAGCTGAACGCCAAATGAAACAGCCGACCACTGTTCATGATGTGACTTGTAAAGAACAGCTGCAGGGAAAGCGCCAAAAAAATGAAGCTACTATAACATGATGAACTTGCTAGCTGCTTGTTTGACTGTGTGAGAAATGTAGTTCACTAACACACCTACTGATGATGGTTTATTATGGGAATTGTACAGAGATTCCCACAAAATATCATGTTTGTTCAACTGCTTAGATTTTCATTTATTACTGTATTGCTACACAGCAGATTGATATATTCAAGTTTCAGTTTTCATTTGATCTGTTCAACACTTTGTCCTGGTACAACAGTTTAATTTAGGGGCTCTTAGAACATTTGCATGATCTTTTTAACTGAGACAATGAGTCTCAAATAAGATTTGTGGTCAGTTTTGTGGACACTGAAATCAAGATGGTCTTCAGTGGGTGACAAAGAAAAAAATGTGCTGATTGATTTAAGGTAATTTGTCTCCTACTATGTTGGTCAGGTATTATGGTCCAATTTCTCCAGTAATGTCATCTTGAAGCATCCTCTCAAATGGGCCTTCCATTTCTGACATGAATTTTCTGTTGGTGCTCCAAGACAGAGATGAATAGAAGCTCAGGGTGTACAGTCTTCTTTTGTTCTCCTCTGTATCTGTTCACATGAGCATGGCCAGTAGTTGGTACATGGTGG